AAACCAAAAAAAAAAAATTACAGAGAAGGAAGTACGCATACAGGCACAGAGCACAGCACAAGTTTCTTTAAAATCTAAGGCAAGGGCTGGGGAGATAGTTCAGTAGACTAAATGCTTGCCTGGCAAGAGCAAGGGCCTGAGTTCAATCCCTGGGATCCGCAATAAATAAGTAAATAAATAAATAATAATAAAAAATAAAAACTAAGGCAAGATAGGGTCTGACATCCAGACGCACGCAGAGGAACCAAAGGTTTCCATGTCGCTCGGGGAGGCAGTGCGTCTCCTGCGCTAGGTCTGCTTTTGCCTTTGTTTGTGCTCCAATATTAAAGTGAGCACTAAAAAATAAATAAATAAATAAATAAATAAAGTGAGCACTTTTTGGAGTCAAAGCTGGCGTGGCACATGTGCTGGCTACAGCACAAGGCTGGGTTCATTGTGAATTAGAAAACCATGGCCTCTAAGAAAGTTCAATCAGGGACAGGGAGATAGCTCAGCAGCAAAATCGCCTGCTAGGCAAGTGCAAGGTCCTGAGTTTGATCCCTGGTACTGTGAAAAAAAAAAAAAAAAAAAAAAGAAGAAGAAGGTTCAATCCTCAGGAAAATCCTGCCTTCTGCCTTCCCATCTCGCCCCAGCCAGGGGTGCAGGGAGGCTGCCACGCAGGCAGAGCAGATCCCTGCAGGACGCTGTGTCTTATCTGTCCAGCACAGCCAGGTAGGGAACCCCCACAGCCCTAGACCAAGGTGAGGAGGGCGGGGCCCAGCCCAGCCTCGCCCAGCTCCTCAGAGGGTCAGAGGTGAAGCTCAGCCTGGGAAACGCCAAGGGGTGGGATGGGCTCCCCAGGAGGTGAAGGGCCACCTCCTCCCGCTGTTTACTGCAGCTCTGCCCTGCACCTTGAGGGAGTTCCCAGGGAGGACAGAGTTCAGCCCGGGTCCCCAAGACAGCAGGGAGGGCCTGCTGTTTGGCAACACAAAAGTTCATACACACAAACACTCGGCAGGCAGACAGCCTCTGATACACACAGGGACACACAGATGTCACCGCAGTGCACTGCCAGGGCCCCCAGGTAACACAAACATGAAGACACCCAGCTCTGCCCTGCATACACTCTCTGTTTCCCCCAGACACTGAGTGGCAAGTGTTCCCACAAGCAGGGTGACCTGCTGAGGCTGCTTCCCAACGTATAGTCTGCTGTCAGACCGCCTGGGGTCCTGGCTGGGCCCTCGGCCACATATTCAAGCCCGGCCAAGGGGGACGAGAATACTTTTGCTGGGGTGTTGGGAAGATTTGCATGCAGAATCCTACACAGGTGCCAGGCAGAGGGACAGAGGGACTGATGAGTCAGGACACACACTGCCCACACTGGCCACCTTGCCCCTACACACTGTCTCCACGTACCCTATCTGGCCTCATGGCTCTTCCTTCCCCACACGCAGGGATCCCTCCCTCGGAACTCCCCAACCTTACAAAGCTTGGAACCAGCAAAGCCCCCAACTCCACAGTCCTCAGGGTGGTCCTAAAGAAGTCTGTCCAGAACAGGCGTGGGGTGTAGTCCTAGGGGTCAGTGCAAGGCCCTGGATCCCGACCCCAGCATCCGGGGGGTAGGAGAAAAAAGAAATGTGGGGACTCCAATGGCACCCACATTCGGAAGAAAGGCGTTGCAAACGAATGCCAGCCCCTCCTCCAACCCGGACCCCGGCGGAGGGCACCGCGCAGCCGGCTCCGGCCACCCCTGCTCCCGAACCCGCGGGACAGGTCGCCTCCCCTGCGCCCCTCCTTTGGCTGGGCCTGGAGCTGGGGAAACCGAACCAGAGCGGCCGGCGGGGGCGGGGACCCCGGGAATCCGGCGCAGCCGGCTCTGGGGGCGGGGGCTGCCCGAGGACCCCAAAGCTCTGGGCCGGCGAGAGGGACCCGAGAGGGACCCGAGGCGACGCGCGCACCCGCAGCGCAGCTCTGCGCAGCGCGTCGGGAAACTTTCGAGCGCTCGCACAACTTTCCGCCGCGGCAGCGAACTTGGTCCCTCCCGCCCCTTCCCGGCCCGGCGCGCGCGCGGCGACCCCCCCCACACACACTGGAGATCGGGGGGCCCTCGGGGCGCCCGAGACCTACCTTGGGTGCCCGCGGCAGCGGCGGGCAGCAGGGCGAGGAGGAGCCCGCAGCGGCACCAGGCCGCCAGCTCCATGGCGCTTAGTGCGGCCCGGGCCCCATGGCGCGCGCGGGGGCCGG